CAGAACAGTAGATTGAACACAGACAGGTTTGCTTGGAAATCTAGTAGCCAGACCCAGGCTGGAATTTCAGAATACTAGAAGCATGATAAAACCCCCTGTATCTTCTCCCTTAGTCATTACCACCACTTTCTTGGTAGCACACTGGTCATGCTTAAACATCAAACTTTGTGTCTCAGCATCGCTGTAACATTGTCTAGCATTAATCCAGGCAGTCGTGCCATGTTTTATGTAATGATCCATACTTTCACACCACAGACACACAGCCAGAAGAGGAAACACATTGATTTAGCGCTCAGTAATCCTGGTTTAATCCCCAGTCCTTTGGTTTACATCACTAACATGGCTCCTGCGGTAGTCAGCATTCTATCTTTGTTCTTGGCAAACTGAATTAAAGGAAAGATTTATTAATTTGTAAGTTGGCTTCATAGATGCATCTTAAATGTGCTAAACCCCAAAGCAGTCCAGAAGCCAGTGCTGACTTAACCATAAAAATCTGCTCTTTTAAATCAAACCTTTGCAATAATCCAAATCAAGCTGCAGAGAGTAATTTATTGGCTTACTGAAGTAATAGCATTGTATAGGGCTAAACTTAACAACAGTCTCATTGCAGGCCCTCAGCCTATTTCCTTTTTCACTCACTGCTACAAATACAATTAATCTCTTCTTTCCTTGCTCATCCGTACCTAGGGCTGCAATGCTTTATGGCTCATGTACTGATAAGAGAAAGGGGTTGGAACTAATGGATTCATTTGAAAAAAATGTTAGGGGGTCAGAGATCACCATTCATTCCAGTGGTGATAAATATTCCATGTAATTGCTGCACAAATGCTAGTGTTTGGGATTTATTTCTATTAGTTTATGAATGCTGGTTGCTTTCTTCCCTTTCACTGTGCCAAAGACAGATATTCTCAGGAAGAAGCCTTTTGTAATAATTTAGCTGTCATCACCTTCACTCCTGAATCCTTTAGGCCAGGTACAGGCTAGCCCTGTTCCTTTCTGGCAGGTGAGATTCCAGAGCTAACTCCAGCAGCTTAAGGTGGCTCTCCATTCGCAGCCTTTCGGCTAGCAAGTCACCTGGAATCTCCAGTGATAACCATGCTCATGTTACAATTTTAAAGTGCTTTATTTTTTTTAATTTTTTAAATTTTTTTTTAGAAAAACATAGTTGTTAATTTCCTAGATGCAATCAGACAACTGTGTTTTACAGTCTAGAGCAATATAGACTGTTCTTCCTGCTGGAAATCTTTCTACTTTGGGGGACTCCAGGCCAGTTCCTTAAGCAAATAAACTTTTAGAAGCCTGTAATTCACATTCAAACTATGGCATTTAGGCTCAACTCTAAATCAAATGTAGTCTGGTTGCTCATTTCAAGGAAAAGATAATGTGGGGGGGGGAAAAAATCCTTTTACAGAGTATTTAAATAAAATAGTAGTGATGTAAAGTGTTAATGAATTAATTGTTGCAATGTGCAGAAGTATCCCATAGACAATACTTTGGTAGTGGGAAATAAGTAAGGATGGGAAAGGTCTGTTCTTGCAATGTGTCCTTCCTGAAGCTGATAAAACTCTTCACCTCTGTGTGTGCCTGCTAGTGAGATTACAGATGCAGTTCATGCCCACATTTTCAAATTGTGCTTACATGAATGAGTTTATTTTTAAATTTACCTAGTCAGACAAATATAACTATTTAACCTGCAGCAAAGGGCAGTAAGTTAGATGTGAAGGCTCACAGTAATCTTTAGAGTAGCTGCCAAAAGACCTATTAGTAAATCTAAACATCCCTTGGAAAGCTCCATAATTACTTTAGACACTGACATTGTCAGTAAATGGCATTTTTTTCACAGAAGAGAGTATACTCAGAGTTCCTAACTTTAAGGCTCCATTGTAGTAGCACGCTTACTGCTACCAGTCCTCATCGTGGGGTAGTAAGCCATTCTTCCTAGAAGGCCACCACTGTGCCGGTATCACAGTATTGGCATCAGAAATTACTCCCTACAGCAGATGCAAGAGGCACAGCTGCCATTAAAGACACATTTCGTGTACTGCTATGGGACCTGGGGCCTAGAACTGGATGGGGGTGGCTGTGAACCAGCCCACCTGCCAGCACCAGAGCCAAGCTGCAGCAGTGCCTTGGAGCATTAGGTGCTCTGAACTGACATTCCAAACAAGGACTGTGCTGAGCAGGGACCTGCACAGAAAGGCTGCAGGAATTTGCATCTTAGTCCCTGCTCCAGTCTTGAAACTGGCTTCTCATGGTTTACAGTACTCTCTGGTGGCCCAGCTGCCTTCTCCTGTCAAAATGCTGAGAAGAGAGAGCGATTGCTTCTCTATCAGGAACAGGTTTGGCCCTTCTCATTTCCTACCATAACCATTTGCCCAAGATGGGCAAACCTGGACTTCCTTTCCATTTCTGCTGGATGAGCATTAAATCTACAGCTCAACGTTGTGGAAACTGCCCCACAGTCTTGGCTGCTGTTTGCTGCCATGGAGAAGGGGAATGCTTGCACCCTCCAGGCCACTGCAGAGCAGCTGTCAAGTCCATTGGGAAGAAGGGCAAAAAAGGAACTGTTGATAGCTGGGGTGCACAGCTGAGTGAGGAAACTGTGAGCTCACGACGTGGGGGCTGACTGTGTGTCTTCATGGTTAGGGGTTGGTTTTGCGTCTTTTTTATTTATTTATTTAAATTGACAACCTGCAGAAGCACAAATTTTGCTCAGAAGCTGAGCTTGTTGGGTTCCAGCACTGAACAGTCCCATGCCTTTTGTAGCAGGGGTCCCAAGAAGGTGTTCCTGGCCTTGATCACTGCAAAACAATGGTAGCAGCTGTGCTTCATACCCTATGCCTCAGAGCTGAGGGGGGGGGTAAAGTGCTGATTTTTGACACAGGACACCTAGACCTGTGCTTGAGGAAATATAGAGCTCTGTTTTTCACCTTCCAGGACAGCTCCCAGCCACTACCTTGACAGTGATTTTTAGGCCACGGGCATTCATGATCTCTCACTTCAAGGCTGTTGATTGAAAAGGTGCAGTGATTACACAGGTTAAAGCACAGGGCAGGGCTTTCTCTTGAGCAGAGGGAGAATTTAACTTATCAGCTAAGTGGAGAGTAGACTAAAGCCCAAGCATGTATCCATTGGGTTATAGCCTTTCAAAAATTAAGTGTGAAATTGTTCTCGTTCAGCAGAATTTCACTAAATTCTGTTTTAAGAGCTTAACAGCACTACTCAAATGGCAGACACCAACCTCAAGGCTGCCTGACAAGCTTCATGCACAATGTAATATGAGCCAGGCCAGACAAAAGGAGATCTTTTCACAAACTCTTTATGATGAGTCCCTGGACCACACATGACAACGCTTCTGTATTTGTTTGTTTGCTTAGCTACGTTGATTTGCCCCTACTTTGAGAAAAAGGACAAAAAAAGAAAAAAAAAGCAACAGGTGTGTGAAGAAGGACCCTGTCTCATTCCATAAGGCTGCTGGCTGGAGCCTCTTGCAGGTAGCTCCTGCTCTGTGTGGGAGGTGGATGATGGGCGGAGATGGAGCACTTACTGACTATGCAACTCTGTCTGGTAGATGTAATGAACACCAGCACCTCCCCTTGACTCAGGAACACTCAAAATCAGGCTTCAACTTTCAATTGCAATGGGATCCTCCACACAGCTACCAAATAGTGAAGAAATAATCAAAGAAATGCATTATTTAGTGTCATTACGCTCCACTATGTGTAAGGCCAAGTTTTATTTAGAAAAGCTTGGCAACAGCATCCTGTTTCTGTGTTTTAATAGAAAGTACATCACGTTTGGTGCTTAAAACTTAAGCAAAACTAAAGACACTTAAAACTTAAGCCAACACTATTCTCTGCCTGTAAAGCACAGCTGGATAGCAGACCCAGAACTTAAGTTGCTTGTGTGTTTTCCCTGAAATAATTTCTGTAGTGATTTGATGTTGCTGTTCCCTAGAATTCTGGTGACTTTTTCTTTGATGTCCAGCTCCATACAGAGGCAGAAATAAGTATTTCCAATATCGTATCAACAGTGCACAGCCTGGGCACAAAACACTTCAGTTTGTAAAGCTGAGTTCTAGTTTCCAGGCCACCTTCTTTTAATGAACTTGCCCTTGCTAACTGCTTCAGTGGGACAGTTGTAACTGCAACACTGTGACTGAACACAAGAGCAAGGTGTCTATGAACAGACTGTTGTGTGTCTAATATGCTTTAAAAGAATGCAAATGCTGCTTCAGGAGTCAAACAAAAAAAAAAAAATCCATGAATGAAGTTCAGCCTCCACAGCTGTAGAGATGCCAAGTTAATGGAGCCCTTTGCAGGGTGTGTGAATCTATCCACACGATTCCCCTGCATGTTACTGGGAGCTGTGTGGCTGAGCCCCAGACTTGCCATGCTGGAACCAACCCCCAACTCTCCAAGGAGAAAGGTGCTAATTGGATTGCTGAGTTTAAATCCTTCAGCTAGTCAGTCTATGGAAAGGATTTAGCACTGGCTCTGTAAAAGCTTTACATAGCTTTACAGTGCAATGCAGGGGAAGATTTTTTTTCCCCCTTTCTTTCTTGTGATTAATTGTGAGGCTTGAGGTGACAGGAGACATAATGAAATTCATAAATGCCAAAGGCCGTCCCTAGTCACATTCCTGGCTGTTGGTTTAAGTTAGAAACTGACAGAAGTGTGAACAAATCAAGGTTGCTCTGATAGCCTTTCAGTTACTGGGAAGAAAAAGTAACTGACAATGAGAAACCACTGGAGGTGGTTTAATGGGTATAAATTTTCAAGAAAGAGTGATATTTTACACTGATGCAGATTCTTGGATACATAAATGAGTTAAAACCAGATGGATTCTGCCCCCACCACAGGCTGAGGGATTCCAGTCCTTTTTCAAAAAGAAGATAATTGGCACAACTTATTTAAGCAACCTGCCAAAGAAAAGCTATTGCAAAACCTGTAGCAGAACTCAAAGTGACTTGTTCTGTGTCTTCGTTTGTGACTGGCCTTGCTCTGCTTGATATAAATTTTAAAAATCCACTTCTATGGAAAACAAAACTTGCAGTTCAAACAGGCAGCATAAGAATTAACCTCAGACTCTCGCTTCAGCTTGGAAATACATTCTACTACTTCCCCACATCCAGGTTTGAATTACAGTGTAAAGAATTGCTTCACCTATCCTGTTTTCCTAGTCCATGACGGTGAAGAACATGTCATGTCTGAGTATATATTGACCAGATACTGATGCGGTGGTCTTTTGAGCCAGCTGCCAGCAGTCTCTCATGGGGGTTTTTGTGATCTGAGAAGGACACACAATGGACACTTGATGTGTGGTAGTCCAACACTGCCAAGGGCTTCAGTTTCTTCCAGCCAAAGATCCTGATGCGGTGATCCCACCCTGCTGTTGCTAAAATCTTCTTGTCTTGACGGATGGTGATATCGGATATGCCAGCGTTGACAAGTTTGTGTGTTTTGCAAACCTGTGTGAGAAAGTTATACATGAGGTCTAATTGTTTAAAAAAGAAGGAAAAAGGAACCTTCTGGGATTTTAGGAGGTACAGTGCCCGCCCATAGGCACTGGTATCACACAGCTCGTATGGAGCTTTTCACCACATGGTGGATGATGCCTTAGTTATAGACAGAGATGGAAAAGACCAGTTAAAGCTATTTATATTCTGTCACTAGTGAAGCTCTGAGTCAGGATTGTGAGAACCAGACTAAACAGCTTTGTTCTCCCAGCTATTCTTGCATGAGCTGCAACATTCAGAGCTATGGCCATGTATTTTCCCTGCTTCTGCAACATTCCCATGTTGTGAGATTCTAGGCTGATGTTTAAACTACCTGCTACTTATTTCTACTACTGTGGCCCCCTCACAAAAACCCCAATAAGCTGTGGTAGCATTTAACACAGTCTTGAGAAAGGAATGCTTCCAGGAATTAGGTTACAGTGTCAGGAAATCTGTATTTCTAGTACTCCTTCCCAAGAGACATTTATTTACACCAAATTCCAAGAAGGGGATTATGACCAAGTTATTGATTTCAATCTTGGAAGCCTTTTGTTACTGTTTGGAGACTACTGGGGCACAAGTTTCTGAGGGGCACAATTAAACTGGAAGACATTTAGCTTCCTTCAGGAGGCACTAGGGCTGCACAGGAGTTTTCACTTCACTGACATGATTTTCCCCTGAAGTACAGAGGAGAAGCTCAGTCTAACACACTTTTGCTGTTCCCACCTCAGGTAACATGCATTACTCAGCAGCCTGCCTCTGAAGCACGCAGTATATGCACCAGTGCATGTGTGTGTGTTGAAACAGCCCAGCTTTTGTCACAGTGTGGAAAACATCTTTTGAGTGTTTGCTGACCTTGAAGTGCTGTTATTTATAAGCAGAACTGGAAATTATGTGTCAATGTCACCATCTACTTAAGACTGTTGCTGCAGCTATCTTGTACAAAAGTTTACTGTTGGTGCATGTTTTACTAGACTGTGTGTTGTCTGCTGTTTCTCTGAGGTGGGAAGGGGTTGACAAGAGTATTACATATGAGTAGCTTTCCTCCTCAAAGGACATGCCATGACGCATAGTCAGTACACGATTATAAAGAATATTTTCATTGCAGATAATCTGAACTATAATTCTGGATGTAGAAAATAAACTCCAGAAGTGCTGGTCAAAGCTGACTTGAGACACAGCTGAACACAGCTTGGAATCTTACAGGCACAAGCCTATAAGCAATTATTTTTCAACTACGTAACAGCTGCTTCCCTCGAAGCACGAAAGATGTGCACTCAATGACAAAAAGGGCTAACTGAAACCTGACATGCTTCTTGCATGCTCCATATATTCCTCTTTGCAACAGGACTGACAAATGGGGCTACGGGCAGTTCAGAGCAGAGGACAGCAAGCTCTGCCCCGTGCTGGTGAGCAGCAGGAGGCTGTCTGTGGGGCTGCCACTGCCACCCCTCTGCTTGGTGCCGCGGCTGCAGCCGGATCTCTGCTGGCACAGGTGGGCTGGCGAGGGGAGGGTCTGCTACTTACATCACCGGCCTGGTACATGGAAAATGGGGCCTCATGCTGTAACTGAGATTATTAGCTAATGGCTATAACCAATCCTAGGTGTGGTGCTTCCCATCCTGACTGTCAATTACGTGGGCAAGATCCATACAGCAAAATTAGGGCGACTGGGAGAAACTGCCTGTCATCAAGCAAGCTGCGACTTGAAACTGAAGCCTATAATGGTGATGCCTTTTGGCTATGGAACATGAGGGAACAGTGGGCATTTCTGCATGAGCTGCACACACAAGAGGCAAGAGAGAAAAAACAACGTGGAACAACTTGCTCCAGGTAGATGCAGCCAGGTGAAGTTCTAGTGCCAGGATTTGTGCCATCCAGTCACTTATGGGCAACTACTGTAGTCAAACACATGCCAGCATCATTTCCTAACCAGCAAACCAGCTTGTAATTAAGGAAACAAAGAGGTAAAACCAGGTGAGCGGCTCTTAGCCAGTCATGACCAAGGACACTTGCAGCTACTAGCAGATGGATTAAGAAATTTTGACATGCTGAGGCCAACAGACATCCATCTCTCCTTCCCTCCTTAACAAATGCCATCTATGATTTCCCTCTCCTACACCCAAATCATGTCTTCAAGCCCTATCCTAATTAGAGAAATAGCCAAGATAGCAGTAGCCTCAGCTCTAGCATTTGAGGGAAAAGCCTCAGCAGTCCAATCAACAAAACTTTTGCACTTACTTACATTACAGCTTATAGAAATTTTTTCTTGTCATATATAAAGGAGCTTCTGTGATTATCAGATTTCTTAGTTCTGCTTTATTTATTCACCTGTAGAAGCTGTTTACCTCCTACATTCTACCACAAACATCATCACATAATTACACTATCTCATCCAAATCAGAAGGCTCATAACCAATCCAAGTCATTTGCTGACAATGATGATTTCAGCAACTTTCTTGTAGAAGACAATACACCAAACTTTCCCCATAGCAATAAACTATGAAGTTACCTTCATCATCTATTCATTGACACACTGGAACATTGCCACTTAAAACAGAGCTGAAGTACCATCATTGCGTCATTATTTCTCCAACGGCAGATAGCTATGCACCACATTTACTTATTAAAACCTCTTAGAATAAAAATAATGTGCCACTGAGTGGTTTTCCAACATCCACCATTACCTCAGGTACCTGGAATGTCAGGGGAAAAAAAATCCCCATCTGGTTTATATTATTAATGCAATAGTGGAAAAAAACCCTTAATCTAAGTCCTTGACAATCTCTAGCGCTCATGTGAAAGACGCATTTTATTAGGGTGTTCACACTACGGATGAAGCACAGAAACTTTACTTCCAGTTTATCATAATACTTGGCATTTAATTTTCTTCTGAGAAAAGCTAGTGTCTCTCTGTGTGACGGGCTGAAGATGTAACTAATCCTACATCTCCTAGGAATGTGAGTACCCAGTGGAAAACAATACCTGGAATAGTTCAGGTGAACAACTATTTTTTCCTGTGAGTCCTATCTGTTGTCCTCCATTACAGTTAACTCAGAACTGAAATGTGCTGTGGAGAAAAATATTTTCTTTGAATTTAGGAAAAGGTATGCTATAATTAATATGAAGAAACAGCTTCCTCTCCAGCATCAGAGTGTTTGAAACTTTAAGAAGCCTGTCATGATGTCAGATTTCGGACACCTTGGCCTTAGAAAACTAGTCTCAATACCAAGTTTCTTACTGAGACTTACCTGCTCACCTTCTGTCTCCCTGAGCTAAGGACACTAGGTGCAGATGTGTGCCAATAGTGACAGGAAGGCCAGGGCAGGGGGAGGGCAAACATGACAAAAAACCCCAAACCTTGACAATTGTGTATCAGACTGGTTAAAACTCTTTCTATCACGTTGGCTTAGAACACCTTTGCTGCTTATTCAGCCTAGAGTGCCTCTCCACGTCAGATTGCTTGCTACAGTCCAGAGGTTCTCCTTGGTGAGTGCTGTGTCCTTCAAACTCCCTCTCAGCCTCACTGACAGTACATGCACTGGGGTCCTAGTGCCCAGCCCCTCTGTACAGGCTTGTTCTGTGGTGATGCCTCACAGAGTATACAGCCCGGGTGACGAGTCACCGTCGGAGGTCCAAGCACTTGCTTTTCTTTCTATAGCACCATTCAGAAGACAGCATTAGCTTCCCACACCACCTGAAAAAGATCCAGCTCTCTTCTCAAGGATGATATGGGGGCACACTTGGGCTGGTTCAGGTCCTCTTCATTGTGTGTTCAGGAGGCAACTGACACTTTAAAAAAGGTTCAAGCACTCAGCAGTGGAGAGACTATGCATAGGCCATTTTAATTTTCCTGAGCCTTTATTTATGCACTTCATTTCCACACCTAGTTAAAACCTACTTAACCCCTTGGCACTGTTGGAACACTTGCTAAAGTTGTCTAGATTAAGCAATATTTATTACCATTCACTAGCATAGCCTGAACTAGTGATTATGAGACCTCCTTCTAAACTAGGTATGCACAGCTCAGACACAAACCAATATATCCAATTATTTTCCTTGTCTCCAGCTAGGGCTCTGAAGGTGCCAGAGAAGCCCATTGCCTGAACCTCATGTGCTCTTGTTGCTAGCTGGGCTACTCCTACTCTTTTTATTCGTGAAGTATTTAACTGAATATTTCTGTCCTTCCCACAGTGTAAAGAAAGCTCTATAGACTCAAGCAGAGCCTTTGGAAAAGCAATCCTTTGTTTCTCATTTTTATAACTCATTTATAATGTTTAGGATATTCTGAGAGCTGGATACTGCTAACGTGATAAATGAAGATACAGAGGCAATGGCTTGAGTAATGCTAGGCTTGTGTGCCTGTTGCAACTTTGGTAAAACCAGAAACATGTGAGAGAGGTTTTTTTTTCTTTTTTTAAATCCTCACCATCTTTTGCTAAGTCTAGTCACATAGCACAGACATTCTAACCAGTCTGTGATTAATTAGCCAGAGATCTGCAACAACTCCTCTTCATGACTAAATATTTTTTTAGTCTATCAAACTGTTAGTGCAAAGTGGGATAAATGACACTAGAGGGCCAATGATCCTGACCTGTAGGTTCTGTTGCTCATTGAGGCTCCAGATGCTAAGCACCTTTTCAGATGAGCCTGAGATCCCCTTGGCCTTCTCCGAGTCAAAGTCAAGGCTCATCACTGGCTCCTGGTGGCAAACAAGTTGGCTCAATGCTTTTCCCATTGTCAAATTCCAAAGGACCACTGATCCATCTTCATAGCCAGCCAGAAGCAAAGGTTGTGAATCACAGTTGAGCTGATGAAGGGAAAAGTAAAATGGTTTGAGAAATAAACAGTCTGTTAGGAAAATTATCATCCCCAGGTAGGTTTCAGTCCAAGCACCAAGAAAAGAAAAGTGAAAAGTTTAGAAGTCTGAATGTCCAATCTTGATAGTCCATCTACTTACAAAAAGCATTACTAGGTAAATGCTGACATGTACTTAAAGGTTTTATATCTACACATAAAATCCTATGTTTTATGTATCTAGTATGCATTTAACATATACATGTAAATATATATATATACACACACATACTCACACACATAAAGAGAATTTCTTTCTAAAAATTCACACTATTGCCCTCCCCAACATCTGAAAAAAGGCTGCCTGAGGTTTTCAGAAGCTTTACTTCATGGCCTGAACTTTGTTTGCGCTCCTTAAAAAAATTACTTTGAGCAATTGAGTTACTATCAGCCTATGAAACCTGTGTGGACACTGAAAGAAGTGCCCTGCTTAAAGATTCCAGTTTCACATTGCCAAGCGTAGGGTTACACACAGGGATCATTTACCCAAGTGCACCACAGTGCTTAAAGGTAAACACTGAACCTCTCCTCAGGAATCTCTGGGTGAGTCACCAAGGGGTTAACGGGTGCCCCAGTCCCACTGTAACCAATTGAAAGCTACTTTGATTAATGATGTCACAGGCCAAAGGGCATGGCACCCTGGGCAGACACCTAATTTATTTAAGCCTCTGAAATAACTCAAAGAACGGAACATTACTGGATTACATGTCACACTTAAGGAAAATATTCATCATTGCTCCAGCCAAAAGACTAATGACCCTGTAAGCAGTAACTGGTTATGTGAGTGAAGATGCAAATCCCTAATGAAAAACAACTAAAAACCAGGCATCTGTTAATGCCAGTTATTTATTTCATAGGAGAAGAAACACCAAAATAGACATTGGGATTACAAGCACCTCATGCAGGCACATCTAAGAAATGTATCTGATAGAGCTCTGTCCGAACACCGTCTGATCCTACAGGAGTCATTTGCCTGGTATTCAATTAAAAATAAAGGTAATGGACATTTATAAAGAACTAATTTTTACTGACATCACGTTATTGAATGAGGTTCTTCAAACCTGCTGGCTGTCAACATCATGAAATAAACTTGTGGTGGCCAAAACTCACTGCCTCTAATGAATGGTCCAGACTATTCGCCCACTGGTTATTATTTCTTCGGGGGGGATTTAAACTAGCAAGAGATGGGTGGTCTAGGTAATAAACTTGAGGCTGAGTAAAAGCCTCATGCTCTTTCTCAGATTTATTCAGCCTGAAGAAGTGTTTAAATGAGGAATGGATCTCACTGAGCCGGGAAGAAAATTGCCCCTTAAAAGAAGGAAACTGTGGGGAAATCCCCTACATCATCTTTCCGAACAGGCCTGTGCCCCTCCTGGGATCCTCCAGGAGCCTCATTCCTTGCTTTAAGTTCCCTTTTCCTTTGAAAAGGTAGGGAGCATGCTCTGGCCGGAAAAGCCCACAAAAGAAGGTGTCTCATAATGCCCAGAACCATGCACAATTTTTCTGTCAAATTTTTGGCTTGCTAAAACAATAAAACATCAGAGCAACAAATGTATGTCAAATGTATGTGAATTAATATTAACTAATCTGGTATTTTGTATGGAGTGTACCTACTTTTTAATATCAGTGGAAAGATAAAAAAAAAAAAAAATGAAATAAAGATTCCAGATTTTATTTATATTTAATAAAAGGTAAAACTCTCAAAGAAAAACAACCTATTCCAAAGGTGCTTCAGTTAAGTTTAAAAAAGCCCCCAATTTGGGCATAACCCCACCACGCTCCTAATTATTTGTACTGCTCTTCCCTGAGCAGGTACAGCTGTCGTTATCCAATGGATGGGCAGCTCCTCTGCCTGGCTCCAAACAGCATGGCCAGATTTTCGTAGGTGCTCATACCCCACATTCAGATAAGAGAGACAGGTGAGTGCTCAGCATTATGGGAAACAGCCAAGCAAAAAAAATATCTTATCTTGGATGAATAGTTTGCAAGTGAGATCTAAGATTGGTCTTTTCAAAAAAATAGTATTGTTTTCAATGAAATGAAGGTCTCCCACTCTGCTTCTTCCTGACTTACCCTAACCATATGAAGTGTAGTATTTCAATGAGTACTTGAACTTACACAATAAAAGCTATTGAAAGACCAGGGGAGCTCTCAGTCTGACACCTGGACTCACCAAACAGTGTTTCACAACAGCCTATTTATTTCAGTTCCTAATAATGGACACTTCTAGTGAAAAGTCTTCACCATTCATGTTGTTTCAGTGGAAAAATTAAATTATAAATCATTGTTCTTCCTAAGCAGAACATTCAGTTGTTGGATTTGGATAACTGTCAAGGAAGGAAGAGAAGGTGATTTGCTGTCAGCTCCGAAGGAATAATTGCTATAGTTTATATAAAGTAATAACTCTGCGTTTCCAGTTTCTACATGTATTATTCCTGTTGAATTATTTTGTTTGCACCATTACGCAACATGATGCCTTCCCCAAGGAGTACAAAAAATTTAAGGAAAGACTATCCTTACTCCTGCAAATCCTACTCCACCCAATTAGTAATAGCAGGAAGGTGTGAAGCCGAAGGGACAACGTATTTAAGAATATGAACCTTCACAAGGGAAAACCCCATTGAACGAACTAGTACGTTTAAGGACATACCTAGTAAAATGGGTGGAAAAATAAAGCTCCAGAACAACAACAACAAAAAAAAAAAAATAAAAAGCTGAAAGCTTTTTAACTGCTTAGGAGAAGCCTGTGAGGCTCAAATCTACAAGCCTCACCTAAGCCTCAATTTCCTTGTGCTCTATAGTAAAGTTTCTAATGCATGCTGCTGGTGGTAAGGTGGGTTGTTTCCCTGGTATGTGAACTGCTTTTACTGGCATGCAGAAAAATATGATGATACATGGCTGCAACCCCCCAGACTCTTGCTGGACAACAATAACCCTGAGCATGCTTCTGTCAGACCATCATATGGCTTTCTCCACGTCAGCTTCTGTTTCAGCTTGTTAATTTGCTGTGCCATAAGCAACATCAAATAGTCACTTAGGCAATGTTGCCTGGGAGCGACGGGCTGGGGAGTGCTCATCTCCCAGGTATGCCCACACTGCCCAGCACAGCAAGGCACAGAGGCATCCTCTACTCAGGAAGGGCTGCAGCTGGGTTAGCTCCTGTTCTTCTGCTTTTATGGTTATGGGGTTACTCAATGAGCCACTTCCAGTGAAACCACAAAACAGAACACAGAGCATCGCTTTGGTACACCACAGGTAATTGTTTGCCCAGAAGAGTATCCTCCTCCCCCGTGCTTTTAAACCAAGTTGCAAACATTTGTAAAAGAGCAAATACAGCTGTGAGACTGCAAGGGATTATCTATCCTTGCCTGTTGCAGTCTAGGAAGTTGTGGTGACCTCCCAAAGCCAGAATTTGCATGGAATAATTTACCTCTCCAGATTTCCCGTCCTCTGCTTTATCCCCACTGGCAACAAAATTAAGAATTACATAAATTAAGACTCTGCACCTGCTCTGCTTCCCAGAGGAATAGCAATATTAATGCATGTAGAAAATATGGCAAGACAGAGGACTTTTCATACAGGCAACAAAATTTTCAGCACTGAATATTTCCTCAGTTATCTTAATCTTATTAAAAATGTTCAGAAGACAGAAAGCCCCATTCATTTCACTGAGTACTGAACATTGATTACATTTTTAGGAGAAACTTTCTGTTTAATAAAAGCCTAAACAGTCTATTTAATTTTCCTTCTCCTTTTTTTTCCCCTGATTTTTAATTACAGCGTGCAATTTGAACTGTGGCCTCTCCTACTTTTGTCTGAAGTCAGCAACTGAATTCATCTGAACTTCAGCTGGTTCAGGACATTGAGTGAAGACACTAAGGCCTCAAATTCACAACTGATTGATAACTTTTTCAACTGAAACAACTGCTCAGATGAACCTTCAGGAATACCACACTTGAAATCAGCTCGGATAGTACTACAGGTCTGTAACAGTATGTGGTCAGGGGGTTAAAATGGGAATCAGCTTTGCCATCAACTCTTTGGAGATTTGGAGCCAGTCACCTAAATGCCTTGTTCCTTCCACTGTCACCTTTTTATTTGTATTACTTGCCTTCACTGTTGGTGCTCCATAAACATGACTTGCTGGCTAATCTGCCAGTGTGGCTTTTTTTTTCATTAACTGCTTTTATTTACCTTTTTGTCCAAAGTCAGTACCACTGTAAATATTTTGTTCCTACTATATGTCTGGAATAGAAATGTTCACAGGGTGCTTCCTTGTCCTGAGGGCACTGAAGTGAAGGTAACCTGCCATTAAAGTCACTGTTTTGAAGTAACCCAATCGCTTCTCATCATTCATGATGCAGTGAGAAACCATATCAAACAACTGGCTTTGGTAAGTCACTCATTTTCTTCCCGATGGATGCAAAAACTGTATCTATCCTAAGGATACAAAGCTTTCCCTGAGCATTTGCAAATCTTCCATTAAAGCTTGGAAAGCTCTGAAAGTTACATTAAGGATGTTCACAAATCTTTCCCCCCTTTAATAGTATAATTACTTGATTGGTTTGATAATAAATCAAAATCCAAGTGAAGAAAGATTCATGTGCTTCATATAAAATGAATCACAGGGAAAACATTTCACAATTAGCAGGCGCTCTTGCCTTACCTGCCATAACTTCAGACACATGGGCATGCCCAGCTTGGCACCCACCTCTGGCTTCAAGGTACAGACTGACGTCTTGGATGGCAGCTCCAAAACCTGAACCTGACATCAGGAAAACAAGAGTATTTGGTCAGGCTCCAGGTCAAAATTCTGCTATTAAAAACACAAGTCTTTTAAGGTGATTAAGGCTAGTAGAAGCTCTTCCAGTAAAAACTGTCTGGAGGAAACTGAGGAATGCATGTTAAGTTAGAGCTGTAGGGGAATCTACAGCTATCTAAATAAATGCATTGTTTTAGGAAAGGCCAGACAAAACTGCTAGAATGAACACATCCTCTTCTTCCACTCTTCTGTTTAATCCATATTATAGTATTCTTTCCATACAGGAGATGACATTGCACACACACTAGCTGATATTGCAGACTGCTTAATCTGAAACCCCTTCCCTACTTCCTCTCCCTTTCCCCTTTTTCCATCTCTGTTGCTATTTTTTTTTTGTTATATTCACTTGTGGACACTTGTGTTGTCTCCCCTGTTCTGTCACAGTAACACAGAGCTTGTGTGGAAATATAGGCAATATATATTATCTAGAGGTGGATTTTTTACTTTCTATCTGCCTGCACTAACAAAAGAAAACCCAGAATTATTTGCGAATGCAGGCTGGAGCAGTGACTGCAAACAGGGAGCTGTAGCCTCTGTTGTCTAACCCTGCTCTGGACAGAGTGTCCAACACCTGCTCTCTATCTGCACAGCAGCTCCCAGTGTGCTTGCACGGACGGTAATGAAATATGGAATATTTTTTTGTTTTAAAAATTATTATTATCCTTTAGGATTGGGTAAGTCTTTCCCCTGCCAAGGAAGTAACTCATGTCCACCTCAGGATGATGGCAGGCAAGATCAGGGGAGTCTGCCTTTGTAATTTGTTGCTGGAAGGTTTCGAGTCTCTTCACTGACACAGAAGTGCCTCACTCTGGGCTGATTCTCAAGCCTGCAACTACAGAGAAACAGAAGGTCTTAGGTATGAAAAACTGCTGGTGTTTCTCAAATGTACACTTAACGGGAAAGGTGATGCTGTGGTTGAACCCCAGCAGCTAAGCCCCACCTAGCCTCTCACTCGCTCCCCCTGGTGTGGGGGAGAACTGCAAGAGCACAAGTGAGAAAACGTGTGGGTTGAGATAAAGACAGTTTAATAGGTGAAGCTGTGCACACCAGCAGGACTATATTCACTGCTTCCCATGGGCAGGCAGGTGTTCAACCATCTCCAGAAGAGCTGAGCTCCATCACATGTAATGGGAAGACAAATGCTACCACTCTGAATGCAGCCCCTTCCTCCTCCCTCCCCCAGCTTTACACGCTGAGCATGACGCCAGACAGTCATGTGTCTCGCCCCCAGCTTCTCTGACACTCCTGGCCTACTTGCTAGTGGGGCAGTGTGAGAAGCAGAAAGGGCCTTGACTGTGGTAAGCGCTGCTCAGCAGCAACCAAAACATCCCTGTGTTATCAACCCTGTTCCCAGCACAAATACAAAACACAGCCCCATACTGGCTACTGTGAAGAAAATTTACTCTACCCCAGCCAAAACCATCACAGGTGATATTTTATTTTAATTAACCAAGCAATGGTCTGCATTATTTTGTAAAATTAGAAGACTTCAAACATTTGATAAATCCAGCACCACCAGCCATTCTAGGCTCTGTCAGAATCTGCAAAAGCCCAGCAGTGCTGTTGGACAGCCTGAGCCATGCGAATTTCCTTGTCTGAGATGAGGTATTACACAAATATGGCTCCTCTGGGACTCATCAATCAAGACCACGGCAGCTGCGATGGTTTCCAATCCCATACCTTTAGTTCAAAGCTTGCCAGAACATCTTCCTATTTCTAGAGGTTGTCAGCCAGCCTGCCAAAAGCCAGCTGCACTCTAGGACCACAGGCTGACAATGTACTGAACACAACACACTGAGTGCTTTCTAAAGCCACTTCGCCATGGTGCAGGAAACTGTTCTCCAGATTTGGGGAATGGAGATTACAGCAAAAAGCCATCCAATGTGTAGGCCAAACCGATGAATAGAGTGAAGTCTGATCATCTGGGAATTCTGGCTCTTTGGAGCTACACTCTTAACAAAAGATGCTTTTCTCTTGGCAACTTTTTGCTATCAATGTAGCAACCAAGTTAGCTATTGCAGGAAATGGGCTATAAGTATGAAGATGACCTGCTCTCATCTTGCATCTTTCATCACTGGCTCTCCAAAGGGCATTGCCTCCTAGACAGGACTGGAATGGCAACTTTTACATAGTAAGGAAGGATAAGTGTGCTGTGATTCTATGACAAATACACTTCTGCAGGTTAAAAGAAAAAAAAAAAAACAGACAGCAAAAACCTTCTTCACTTTACCTTGATTGAAAATGAACAAACTGGTACAAGGGCTACAGCTGGGCTTGCAAATGACAAAGAAAAGCACAAAGAGGAGATCAGCTTTTTGCAGAAGACAGGCAGGTAAGAGCTGCCTGGCTAGATTGACAGTTACAGAGACTGTCTGCATTAGAGACAACTAAGCCTTAGAAATAAATACTATTTCATATATTTTGACAACTGTAACTTAAAACTTGAAGTTCTGTGTTTATATTGGTTTTGCTTAATAGGAGAAAGATTTGCCTTTGCCTGAGGTTAATAGTGTTCCTGGGTGGCTAAAACTGGCCACAAGGAAACACACCCTTTTTCTTTTTCACATTAATAAAGCTTTTAACATGTTTCTGGCAAATTGGCAAGAAAAGTGCGTGTAACTCATAATTGGTGATTTAAATGCAATCATGAACAAATAAATGCTTGTTCAGATCTCATTATTTATGGACTGAACCTGCTTTAAGACAAAATTACTCTTTTTTTGGGCACCAGCCAAGCATAAACACTTATTAAGTCTTAATTTTAATCATAAGCTGCAAATGTACTCTGTCTCACACAGTGCTGCCTATTTGGAAGCACTATATATATTAGGGAGCTTATGCGAATTTATTGAAACCTGACACAGTTCTAATGTAGAGGTTCATATACAGAGTGGAACTCTTTTACCTCAGGAGACAGCAAATCATTATCAGTTTGCAGGACCCAAGCAACAAATGAAAATAAACCAGAGATGAGTTGTGAGAGACACTGGAGTAAATGTCTTCTTTTTTGATCAGATGATTATTTAATTCTTCATTACCAGAATGTGTGTGTGTATTCTTTGCCCAACACAGAAACCCTTCTCTCTGGCTGACATAAGAATGCACTTGTCAAATTTGTTTAACTTAAATACTATTGAGCACTGCTGTAAAATGGAGAGTTTTCTTTGTTTGATCAGAACAAGGTATGGGACTTAGATTGGCTACATTTACTGGTACAGTGATTGTGTCTACAGGCTCAGTTCTGTAAAAGGCTGATCATTCTGGCTGTGAGCCAACAAGTACTTATATACATGCTTAACTTTTGAATAATAAAAAGTTCACATTTTCCTGCAATACAGAGACACCATTGCCATTTATTACTTTGTATATAAAATATGCCACTTTCAGTTTCAAGATACCCATCCTGTAGTCCAGAAAATCATGTGACCTTTTATGTTCATAAACAATTTGCAATTAGCTACAATATTTCTTTTCGTATTCATGCCACTTTTTTTTTTTTTTTCATATTCTTGGTATTTTGATGTCAAGTATTTAAAATAATTAATTTTTATGTGATGACCTCAGAGAAAAGAAAAAAATATATGATTTCTACAAAGCACAAGTGGAAATTGCCAACAAAGCTGTCAATCAATGACTGCTGTGATAATGAGCATTAGACGTGGACTTACCCAGTAGGAACTGAAATGGACCCTACAATTATCTCCCACTGGGCAAAACTCTGGCTGCTAATAGCAATTCAACTATTTCCAGCCAAAGTACCAGTTAGAGCATTAGCCTGAGGTGAAAGACCACTTATCACATTACAAATCACCTGTGCCTCCCTTTCTCTCACCAAACGTGACTTTCAGACGAGTACCTCCATCTGACAACAGACTTTCTGACCACTAGTTCCCCAGAAGGACTCTTGTTCCCCTTTAACAGTATTCAGCAGCACCAGAAGAGTTTTCATAACTCCTGCATATGAAAGACCAGCACCAGCTGCAAATAAATGCCAGACAAATCTTGGGTTGGTAACCTTGTTATTAGAGCATGAGTTATACAATTCACTCATCTTTCTAGCAGGTAACAGTAGTCATTAGAACCCTCAGAGGTTCCTTGTGCTGCCCTCCCTTGAGCTATTTGAGAGCAATGATGTTCACCCTTCTGAACTATCTCATTTGAGAACCAAGTTTCCCAAGCAAAAGGAAAAGAGACACTTCCTACCTCCTCCAGGGCTTTGGCTGCCATGGCCATTAGCCAGCGTCCTTGTGCCACCTCTAACAGAGAGCATCTGCAGAATCCCACATTCTCCGTGAAGACAGAATCCGTCACTGAGGTCCGTCCCTCTGCTAAATCCCACAAGCAGATTCTCTGGTCACGACCCTGGCTGTCAGAGTAAAACAAGTTACCCCTAAGCAGCAGGTCTGAAAAGCCAGACTTCCTGCAGGTCAGCATCTCAAAGTTGGGTCTTTAACATGCAGCAAAGGAGTGAGGTTAGAACAGCTTCTGTGGGGGTGTTAATTGGGTCTTTCACAAAACGTGTGGAGACTGGCTATCCCTGAGACCACCACTCTTCTGCTGACTGCAGAACTGGCCAGCTGGCTCAAAAGCTACTGGGAGGAGGGAGGACCTGAGAGTCAGTCAGACACACTGCAGTCACAGTTAGCCATGCTGCCTTGTGAAGAGGCTGCATCAAACACAGTTATGCTATCTTTATATTTATGAAGTCCCATGAGTATTTGGACATATTCATAATAAAAATAATTTCATCTGATTAGATCTAATTTAAAAAGAAACAGAAGTATGCAGAGAGTAATGCATTTAGTGCTTTCACTCTAGCAATGAAATAGAAACGTCAGGTGTGTTGACAGCTGAAAGACAAACAGCAAGACAACAAAGACCACATCAAGGATAAATAAAAAGATACAGTTAATTCAGCAGTCAACTTCCCACAGCCACAGGGAGAGCACAGAAGACTGTTACAACCATGTATGCACGGAGACACAACAGGAGAGGGTCTGGCAGTGCAGTGAGTAGCAGGAGTTAAACAGTGAAATGCTGTGGTTAAAACATCCAAATGCCGAGAGCCAGCGGCTGCGTCACTGATGCACCAGTGCAGCTCAGGCAGGGACCTCTCTGAACCTCTCTGTCCCACAGAAAAGTCTGTGTGCTGGCCCGAGGAGGCCAGACAAAGGGCACAGCATTAATTGCTACCTATTTACGTGATCCCACTGGTGCCAGAGCAAAGTCCCACTGTGGAGAACCTTCCAATCCAGAGATCGCCATTACAGAGGCGCAGGATATGTGCCCTCGTGTTATCACCTGGGACAAGGAGTCATCAAAAATCCCTTATCCATTGCTTATTTTAATTAGCAGCATCACCTGATGGAAGTGTGAAATGAAAACAAAGGTAGATGCAAATACACAGACTGTTGGGACTTCTTCAACATCAACACAGAAACTCTCATATGCTGTTCAGATGACTGACAAACTGGCAAAACATTTATAGCACTGGGCATACAAACAATGTGGTACTGCAAGAAATTCTTGTGATTTAGCTTTAGAACAGAGAAACAAAAAATACAGGTAACTGCTGTCCAAAAATTGTACTGCTATACGAACTGCTACAAATACACAACAAAAATAGAGGTATGGAAAAACTCTATAATTATACAAACAGTGTTTCTTCAATATGATTTTTATAGGGAGAGTGTTGATAATGGTACTTAAGCAGATAACAAATATAAATGCTAATGAGTTCCACTGTATATTATAAGAGATGTCTTCTCTAGATAAACACGTCAGAACACCTCCTAGTCATACAGACACTTTGGCATCCACACTAGATCACCTGTCTAATCCAAAGTACACAAATCTTCCCAACCTTCCCTTGCTAAATAAGACCAGGAGATATTTTGCAACAAAGCAAAGGCATGCAACTCAGCATTCTTGCTCATTTTCAGTCTTCCATTTTCCATCTCCAATTTTCCACTTCCTTCCTTACCTTTTCTCCCTACCCCTCTATTTATAAACTATATAAATTCTGATTTTCCTTAATAATCAGCTGTGAAGCATGTGCCAACTCAGTGCAGTAATAAAGACACTACGGACCCCACGTTGTTGGGATGTCATCAAATATGTATCATAAATAAATTAATCATATAATATTTTTTCAATTTTTTTTCTATAATTTTCCTGTATTTTTGTACTTCTGTACATTTCCATATGTGCTGGAGAGACTTTCAGTGACTCCAGAAATAAGTGATTCCTTTTTTTTTTCTGCCTCTTTTTTTTTTGTTTTCCTCCTCAGCCATCACAGAAACAAGAATAACATCAGCGTTTTTTGCCTGCTCTGCTAACCTGAGGAGTCTGTCTTTACTACCCATTGTCTCCACACAGTAGACAGATTGTTCTTCATGGCCATCCAGTGCTGTGTCCACTCTGTGTGTTTGCAGGTTCCAGACATGGATAAGCCCATTCTCAGACCTGGCAGTAAGAAGAGATACTTTTAGTGTGACCCCTGTGGACAAGACAGACTGATACTTTTTTTTTTTCCCCCCCACAAAACTGAAGCTGTATGTACAAAGATAACACACCCACCATTCACCAACCATCCACTTTGTTGTTTTCTCTAGATACAATTTACCTAAATAATACACTGTGTTTTAAACGGAACTGTCCGAGCGATGCTCAGCTCAGCCAGAATCCCCAGTTTACTTACCCAGAGAAAAGAAGGGGGACATCAGACCCTTCGCCTCGGCAGGAAAAATGCAGCGTGTGGACTGCAGCCCCGGCACCTCTGAGAACAAACTGCGGGTCTGGGGGTGGCAGAGCCATCTGAGCAAAGAAGACACAGATATCATACAGAGTAAAGCAGCCTGAAGTGAAATTACAATGTGAAATACAGTCTGATCAGGACATTTTCTTTTCCTAGTCACTTTCCTCTTTGAATTATCATTACTGGATGTTATTTCTGTCTGCTTTACAGTTCGGTGTAAAGTATTTCCCCAACATTGACTGACCAACAGCTGTTAAATTGCTTTTTGCTGCATTCCTTTCTAAGCAAGGTAAGTGCTGAGCTGCCCATGTGTAGGCACCCCTTGTGCACTTGTAAATACAAAATTGTTCAGCTGTTCTCCCTGCTGCAAAAAGGAAGAACTACAAAATACAAGAAACTGGATACCCGTAATTTCAGTGGGCAAGCAATTTATCATTCCACTTAGCCCCCTTGGCAAGTCTTTCCCCTTCCTTCCCATAAAAATACTACTTCTGTGCTTTCCACTCACAACCATTTACAGGAAATCATTGCAGTGAACATACCAACTGAAAAGAATTTCAGATGAAATTAGTTATGATAACTTTTATAGAAGAATCACATTACTCCCAAGTTTTTGAATTTTTGGTTCCAAGCATGGTTACTTGAAAAAAAAGAAATGGGATATTTCATACTAACTTAGTGACTACTGTGTTAAACATCTTATTCCAAGGGGTTTGTATTCCCCAAAAGATCAAAGACAGACGGATGCTTTCAGCTCCATGTCATTGGTTCACAGGCAGGCTGAGTCAGCAAAGACCAGGACAAGCATTCGGGGAAGCACACTGCCCGTCTAACCTGGGCAATGGGATGGACAATTCCTTGTGCACTCGCAGGGACAGCTGCTCTGATCTGATGAGGCACACTCCCACCGAGCTGACACCTTCAAGTGTTTCCATCCACATGAACACATTTGCAGGTAGTTGTGCACAAGCACCAAAGAAGGACACGGACAACTTTTATGTGTCCTGATCTGCTGCAAATGACCTTCTAGACCTGTGCTGAGACAAGGTAACCAGCAGCCTCTTTGACTGTAACTGCAATTTGCAATTCATTGGAAAATACATTATAATATGCATTGTTATAATGCAGAAATATAGGAAAAGTTTTTACTGTTCTATCTGCGACATTACTAGCCATGCTTGTGCTTCTGCTTCTTCCTTTCTGACCTGGCCTCACAGAGCAAAGGACAGTTTTTGCCACTACACGTGTCAGTTCTCATCACTCT